GGTTAAGGAAACCCTCCCCCCTCCCTTGTTGTGTTCTGGGAAACGGCTTATTGCAAAGAACTGCCCTTCCTTCTCCATGTGACTTATGTAAGACTCATAGATCCCCCTTTCGTTTACCTATAAGGCCAGATACAGACCCTCTGAATTCCCTTTCTTTGACTCATAAATGATTTAGCTGAGCCTCTTGTCCCCACTGGTCATTTGGAACAAAATGCTTATTAACCAAACTTCCATTAAGCCCCTGTCCTTCATCCAGGTCCCTGCATGAACTTCACACCACCTTCAGCCTGGGCCATCGACTCTCGGATGCCGCCACCCTTTCTTCCCACTTGCCCGCACCTGGTTCCTTTTAGCCTTGTTTACTCCTCTCTATAAAAGAAACCTTCTGCCTAACTCGAGATGTTCGCAGACCTTATACTCAGGGCTTTCTCCCAGTTGCAATGGTCCCTTTCTCCCCTAGCAAAAATCCTTTAGAAGAAAGTCTCTCCTAAGTCTGGATTTGTTTTTTATTGGACATGCCGAGGGAAAGAAACAACCGGAACTGATCAGAGAGCAGCTGTATTAGTTAATTCAGCTACCCAGGTGATCCTGATCTGATGCCTCTCACTTCAGTCAGACTTTCAGATCCTGACTCCTAGACTTGCCGAGTCCCAGTGGGCCCACCGGGGCTCGGCCCAGCCATTTGGGCCCGAAGTACAGCCACTAAAAAACGGAGGGTGCCTGAAAAAAAAACGGGCAAAATGGCAGCGAACGCCTTGGAGCCTTCACACCATCCTGGACTCTGTCTGCAAAGGTAAGGCATTTGACTTTTACTCTAAGTGCGATAGGAAGCCATGGTAGGGGTTTCTGAGCTCTTATTGTTTTAATGCCTTTGCTTCGTTAATTCGATTGCTAGTAAGGTTTAATTTTTCTTCTCTGGTAACTGCATTTTTCGGTGAATTGTCTGCACCCACTTATCTACTGAGGTCTTAGTGTCGTTATTCATTTGCTGAGGTCTCTCTCAATTAAGAATTCTAATCGTTTACTGTGTTTTTTTTTTCTTTGTATTTATTTTACCCAAATTACTGTTTTGCTTTTTTAATTTTGATTTTCTTTTTGGGGTTGAAGTTTTAAGCGTGTGTGAGAAATCTCATCCACCACGCGTACGCTTAAGGAGTCCTCTGCCATCTTGCATTTGTTGAAGTATTTTGGTTCGTGTCGCCGTGTTTCATTGTTTTACGCTGGTGGACTTTTTTATCCTTGGGGACCGGACCGAGCAAACTCCCCCTGCGGCCCCCTCGCCCACCTGGGCGGTGCCAGAGGGTCCACTTCTCCGCCAGAGGCCTCAGCCAGGGACATCCCTGTCCTGGGAATCTTCCTCCTTGTTACTGGCCACTGACACACAGGGCGGGGCCATAGTTCCCGCAGGTGAGCAAGGTGAGGTTCAGCTGAAAGCTGGGAGCGAAGCGTTAGGACTACTGCCGGGCAGCTGCCCGTGGGAACGCCCGGCCGCGCTCAGGCCCGTGCCGCGTGCCTGGCTCCCGGGCCGCGCTCCGGGCGCGTCGCGTGCGGACCCGTCGGACA